AGCAAAAACCTCTCCAAAAAAAAAAAAAAATAGCCTCTTAAAAAAAAAAATTAAATAAAAAGGTAGGGCCCAGTGAACACGCCCAGATGGTGGGTTGGGAGGTTGGCGCCGTGGCTGTGCCCTCGAGGAGGGGCCCTGTGGTCTGGAATGGAATTGGCGCATTTCCACGTCTGACCTGCTCACTTCACGCATTTCCGTCTTCATTCTAGGCCTGGTTGCCATAAAGGAGACCCAGGACATAGAGACCCGGCTGAACGAGGTGGAGAAGCTGCTCAAGACGGTCATAAGCATGCCGTGTAAGGTACGTCCGCCAGGTCGGGGTGCAGGGAGGGTGGCAAGGGGACCTGTCACCTTCCAAATGTGAGAGGCGCCTCTCCTCCGAATAGCCAGTCTGCTCCAGCTCGCTCGGCTGGCTATTCCATTCCTGGGAATCCTAGGGCGGAGGGCACAGGGCGGATATAACCGGGGTCAAGGAGGATTTCTGTGAGCCCCCCTGGTACTGGTTATTTTCTTCCTGGGAGAAAAAGTGGACGTGATGGTGTTCCAGGGGGGTGCTGAGTGGAAAGGGAGGTGGGGTCCTCTCTGTTGCACCCGACTTTGCTTTCTTATCTCAGCTTAGACAGAGACAGGGATAAATAGGCAGTGTGCAGCAAGTGACCAGCGTGGTCAGTCATTCGAGCATCCGACCAGTTCGCTGGGCGTTAGCCTCAGACAGAGCCACTTCGAGGAAGAGCCAGTGCCCTTCTCGATCATCCGATGGGGCCGACTCGTGGGAGTGACGCGCCTGTAGTAATCACCGCGTTTCTTCCCAGTATTCTAGGTCGGAAGTCGTGCTCACCTTCTTTGAACGTTCTCCTCTGGATCAAGTGTTAAAAAATGATAATGTACATAAAATTCAACCCAGCTTTCAAAGTCCGGTCAAAATATCAGGTAAGAGCTGTGTGAAGCTTGAGGGGTGGTGGGGGAAGGACAGCTGTGGATTGGTGGCTGTGGTTTTCCGGAAACCTTTCTGGTTGTGTTTACAGCGCTGGGTATACCTCTCACCCGGGAGATTCCGAACCAGAACTCCACTGCGTTGTCAAACTGGTGACACACCATTGTGATATTTTTTTTTTGTGAGGCAATGTGTTTTCCACCTGTTGACCTTAAGCTTAGACTCTTTTGCTAATTTCCAAATAAATTCTGAAAGGATTTATTGGGCTAATCAATGAGAGATTTCTTAGGAAATGGTATTAAAACAAAAACATGAAGGTGACATTTCACGGTAACTGTGGACTCGGAAGTCTAATCTACTCAAGTGAGGTATGTCCCTGACATGGCATTGAATTTGGTCCTTGGTTTTAGGGCCCCTGGGCCAAGAGGGAAGCACACAGGTGAAACCATTGTTCAGGTTGATGCAAAGGTCAAGGGGCAAAGGTCGGCAACAGTGCGACCCCCGAGAGGAGCTGCAGCCCAGCCCACCGAGGCCCTGATGGAGAGGAAGAAGAGCAGACCCGGTGCTCTTGGTCCTGTCAGGGGACTCCCTGAGGTCTGAGTTGCGTGTGTCATGGCAACAGGACACTTGGACTTTCACAGAGGTGTCGTGGAGAAGGCAGTCATGGAACGTCTTGGAGGACACGGACTCTGTCCCAGAAGTGTCCAAGACAGGGTTCCCCCAGGTGAAGGGACTCTCATCTTGTGATCTAGGAGGTGGCACTTGAGTGGGGTCTTGCTGGAGAGTGCAGGGTGGAGAGGGGAAGGAAGGCAGTTAGGAGGAGACCCGGCTTCGCGAAAGGTGAGATCCTACCTCATGTCAAGATCGGGAGGAAGGAGCGGAGGAAGGATTCTGCACCTATTAAGCCATTTCCTTTTTTCTAACTACTTCTTTACACTTTTTGGAGCTTAGTTGTTTATTTCTTCCATGAGCCAAAAAGAGGGCCCCCCGCAAGGTCTGTGTAGCCATCCTCCTCCAGCGTCCGCCAGCCCCCTCAGACCCACAGGCTCACGAATGTCCAACATGTTTAGGGAGGACTCTGGATGCGAACCTGGAACCTTCCCATGTGGATTAGCCTCCTGGAACATCCTGTCAGTGCTGTGTCACCCCCGGTGTATCTGTGTATCTGTGTGACAGTGGGGTGTGCCCACCACGTGGTACAGAACGTCCCTCCTCATACATGGGGAAGTGAGCTGTGGTAGCCTCTGTCTGGGCAGCTTGGGTGTCAAACTGCTGTTTACCAAAACACTGTCATCCCTTTGAGAAAATATTTCACACACAGGCCCATCCTGTCATTAGTCTTGGGTGGCCCGTCTTTGGTGTGTTTGGGGATCGTGGGCTCCAGAGGAGGCTCACGGTCCTGAGACTGTCCACCCACTTTCTCTGCAAGCCTTCCCCCTTCTGCAGGAAGTACCCAAGAGCACTGAGGCCCCTCGTCCCAAACTCTGACTTTCTGAGATCCCGTTATTTTTCTCAAAACCTCTCCTTTGGGATCGAGCCCAAGTCTCTGGTCATTCTAGGCATGGTTTACCTAGTTAGTCATTTAATTTTTTTTTTTTTTGAGACGTTTTTGCTATAGGGCACGTGCGCTCGCCAGACAGACAGAGAGAGACAGAGAGACAGAAAGCAAGAAATCACCCCCCAGGGGGGATGGTCACGCCGCAATCCCTTCTCCTCCATTCTCCTCTCGGGATCTTGGGCACGCACGCACATGCGCCTGGCGTGAGTTTAAGCCACCGGGTCCGGGACGTGAACCGCGGTCGACTACGTGGGAGTCCAGCAATATAGCCATTACGCTAACTGCTGGTCCCGTTAGTCATTTAATTTTGTCACCTCCACTACAGACCCTGGCCTCCTCCAGGGGACTCTGGCCAGCCTCTGCTCTGTTGTAACCCACAGGGCCCTTCGGACAGACCCTGCCCACCTGCCACTCCTGTCCTGGTTAACCCTGCTCATTCCCCAAAACGCCCTGCAGTTAACGCTCGCTATCCACCCACCTCGGTTGTCCTAAATCATCGATGTGGCACCAATGTGGCATTTGAAGAGGTGGTGCTGTAGTGGACGGACCCTGGCCTTCTGTTCATGTCTTAGATGCTTCAACTTTTCTTTCCATGTTTCAGTTGTTTAGTGCTCAGGGGTTCCACTAGGTGGCGCCAGGCGCTCGCTGGTGGGAGAACCACGGCAGTGTCTGGAGGCTACAGCAGGGACTGTGGAGAAGCACTGTGGCCTCTTTGGTTGTGCTTTGGACCAGTGCCACATTGCCCACCCCGTGTTAACCCAGATGCTCGTCAAATCTAAGAAAGCAGTCAGCTAAAAGGTTTAGCAGCTTGGACGTGGCTGGGCAGCGGGAAGGGAAGTGTCAGCTCGGCCTTGATCTGACCACTCAGAGTGATGGATTTCGGCCACGGAACCTGATCATTCACGTTGGAGGGGCCTGGGAATGAATCCCACACGTATTTTCTACGAATCTGCATCTGAACAGTCTCGATCTGAATCGCTACTCTCCAGAAACAGCCCGGCTCATGACATGAAATGACCACAAAGGCAGTACTTTGGGTTTCATTGTGTGGCTGGACTGTGTTGACCACGTCATGGGAGAGAGTTTGAACAGGAGCAAGCCGTCCTGTGAATGCTTCCCAGGCTGAGACCACATGTCTCTGGGAAAAAAGGAATCGGTGAATTAATGAGGCGAGGAGGAGTTGGCACATGGGGCATGTGAAAAATCACCATTAGGCAAACACATGGTGGTGGTTGTGGGGGGAAAAAAAAGATCCACGGGGGGCTCAGCAAGTGGCATGGTGGTTAAATCGCTGAGCTTCCACATAACTGACTGCAGTTTGAGTCCGGACCTGGCGGCTTAAAAATCACACCAGGTGTGTGTGTGTGTGTGTGTGTGTGTGCCTAAACTCCTCGGAGGAGAAGGGAGGAGAAGGGATTGCAGTGTGGCCATCCTCCCTGAGGGCTGATTTCTCACTTTCTCTTTCTTCGTCTTTCTCTGGTGAGTGCATGTGCCCTATGGCAAATTAATTAATTAATTAATTAAATTTTAAAAGTCTGTTGACCAGTAGGTGCTATAATTAGTGGGTGACCGTTTGGGGAAAGACAGTAACCTGTGGAAATACCTGGCACAAAGCACCTTACCCAAGTGGTCCAGGCCAGCGTCACTAGCAGCAGGACCTGTTGATTTTAGTGCCCACCCGACAGCATGCAGAATGGCCCTGAAAACGTATCACCTCTTCCTAATCACCCGCAAGCCTCAGACAAATCCAGGTTCATGCCTACTTGATAAAATAGCTCACCAGTCCTGTTTGTTCATTTTATTGTATGAGAGAGAGAAAAACACGTACCCTGAGGGTCTCCCACTGGAATTCCACTCCAGCCAATCTCAGCCAATCAGAATCATGGACACACACACCCAGCAAATGCAAGTTGACCCGGGAACCAAACCTGGATCTCCCACGTGGCCACCAGCATTGTAGAGCATTGGTCTACTGCCGCACCATGACGCTGGGCCACACCTGTCCCCTCTAACAGTAGTACCATGCATAGGACCAGCAGATGGCATAATGGCTGTCGCTGGACTCCCATGTAGTTGACCGCAGTTCAAGTCTCGGACCTAGTGGCTTTAACTCAAGCTGGGCGCATGTGCGTGCGTGCCAAAGATCCTGAGAGGAGAATGGAGGAGAAGGGATTGCGGTGTGGCCATCCCCCCTGGGGGGGTGATTTCTCACTTTCTCTCTTTGTCTCTCTGTCTTTCTGGTGAGTGCACACACCCTATAGCAAAAATCTCTCGAAAACATAAACACAAAACAATAGGGCCATCCTGAGGGGTAAGGAGCAGCAGAGGAGCTATCAGAGGTCATAGAAGACCCGAGAACTCATTCCAACGAGGGATCCTGGGTTAGATCCGGAACAGAAAAAGGGACCTTGGTGGACACAGCTGACGGCACTTGAGTGAAGGAGGTCTTTAGTCAACAGTATTGTACCAACGTTCGTTTCTCAGATGTGATCAGTGTACCATGGTTATATAAAATGTTAATATTCAGAGAAGCCGAGGAGGGATATAGGCAAGCTCTCTCCTGTTCTTGGGACTCCTGTCATTCTGAAATTAGCTCAAAATGGAAAGTTGGAAGAAGCACACATGGTAAAGCGTGGCTCTCCCTCCTGTGAAAAATATAAATGCGGAAAAGTAGCTTGAAACGAGCCCGTTCATGGAACCAGCCATGCATGGGATTAAAGTGTAATTAAATTGGCCAGTGGTTCTTGTTATAGGCACTAACCTGACTTCTAAGACGTTCGCGTTCTAAGTGTGTGTGAAGACAAGCTTTCAATGCCGTCATTTTTCTTTCATCACTTTTCCTTTGATTCTCTTTCTATTCACACAAAATAATGAGTAGGACGGCATGCCCCACAGTTAGAATAATTACTGTTTATTTGCGCCCCCAGCATTTATTAGATTCTTTAAATAGGAGGGGGCTTTGCATGGAAAAATGGAATTCAAGTGTAAGTTTATTTTGATGCAGAAAGGTTTAAAAACTCATGCGTCCCGTTTTCAGAATACACATTTTCCATGCATTTTTTTTGAAGACCCCCCCCATCACCTGTACAATAGACCTGTCTCTTCCACCCTTACATCATATCTTCTCATTTAATCTACACCTCTGGGGACCAGCAGTTAGCGTAATAGCTATGTCGCTGGACTCCCATGTAGTCGACCGTGGTTTGCATCCCGGACCTGGTGGCTTAAACTCACGCTGGGCGCGTGTGCATGCGTGCCCAAGATCCCGAGAGGAGAATGGAGGAGAAAGAAGGGGTTGCAGCGTGGCCATCCCCCCTGGGGAGTGATTTCTCGCTTTCTGTTTCTGTCTCTCTCTCTCTCTGTCTGGCGAGTGCACGTGCCCTACAGCAAAAACCTCCCCCCCCCCAAAAAAAGAGTAATCTATACCTCTGTCCTTTAGAATGGATACTGTCATTCCCATTTTATGAATGAAGAAACTGAGCAGAAGATGCCCTGTAAGTAGCGTAAGTAGAGGAACTGGAGTTTGAACCAGTTCTACCCAGCTGGACAGTCTGCAGGCTCCCCATCTGCCCTGCGCCCTCCTAAGGACCAGGGTCTCCTGCTGCAGACCTCCCATGCTCGCTAGAGCGGAGGCTGAAGACGCATGAATCTTCTTTTGAAAGTTTACTTTATTTCTTCTGATGAGAATGCATCAATCACATCGTGATCCATCCCCTGTGGACAGAAACCACAGGACTGTGGACAGGTGGGCCTGTGTCCTGTGCATACAGTGAGACCTCAGGACATGAACCCGGGACCTTCCCGTGTGCTTTCAGTATGGAGGAGCATTAGCTTACCACTGTGCCTTCTTGGCTGGCTCCCATAACCGTGAATCTTTCTTTTTTCTTTTGGAGAAGTTTTTGCTATAGGGCGTGTGTGCTTGCCAGAAAGACAGAGACAGAGACATAGCCATTCCTCCAACTGCTGATTCCCCCCCCCCCCCATTTTTTTTTCAGCCAGGAAATCATCAAATCTTAACTAGAGAGACTAAGATTCTCTCGCTTCTCCATTTAAAATGTGTGACAGCACGAAAGCACTTTCTTTATTGTTTTTATTAACTCTGACCCAAATCTGTCTGCCTCGCAAAGCACACAGAATCTCGGAGCAACCTCTGTACAGCTATCTGACAGCCCTCCTCCCCTGTCTCCCACTCCTTTACCGAGGAAATGGGAGGGGGCCTAAAAGTTAAAGAAATGTCACTGCTGCAAATTATTTCTGAACCAAATTCCGAAGTTACCTTGCATACCTAATCTTTCTGAAACGTGAACTTTGATGCTCTAGAAAATGGATCTTTACCAATCCCCCCAAAACAGATCGACAACAAATCATCCTGTCATGGCCTATAGCCGGAAGCTCTTGGGCACATACATGTGGCGTAATTGTTTTGCAAGGTCCACAGGGTTCTGAGGACACTGAGGTCTGATGTGGGGCTTCCTGTGTGGGACACAGCCTAGGACCAGGCGCGAGGACAGCCCTGACTCAGGGTGTTTTACAGGAGGTGGTCTCTCCCTCCCAAGTCCCACCCAGCTTCCAGCCTCAGATAACCTAGGGACCAATGAGGTTAGAGAGCCCGTGGATTGGCATCCACCTTTGGAACATTGATTCCAAACTCTACTTTGGAAAGGGGATGGTTTGTTGAAAAGCAAATTATCTTTGAACACCTATGCTAGTACCAGGCCAGGGCACACCTAAGACCTAGTGAAACATGCCCAGTTTCTGTGTGCCTGGGCTCACTGGAAATAGAACACAGATTTCGCAAGAGTTGATAGTTTTATTTGGACACTTAAAAAAAAGTTCAAAGAAAAGTTGTGCAAATTAGAGGTTGTCCAAAGTTGAAAAGGAAATTAAAAAAAAAAAAAAAACACTTAGCTCTCTAGCAAGTCTCTACTTGTGGGGCCCATCCGTTTCAGCAGCTCACCTTGCTAACCCTGACAGCTATGCCTTTTTGAAATCCAAGTATCCTCAAAGTAGCAAATACTTAAATGGAAGTTGTCCCTCCATATCAGTTTTCGCAGGAGAATCGCATGGACTGTGGACCTGTTCCCTCAAGCAAAAAGTTTCTTAAAGATTCACGGTTATGGGGACCAGCAGTTGGCGTAATGGCTATGTTGCTGGACTCCCACGTAGTCGACTGCGGTTCGTGTCTTGGACGCGGTGGCTAAAACTCACGTCGGGCGCGTGTGCGTGCGTGCCCAAGATCCCAAGAGGAGAATGGAGGAGAAGGGATTGTGGTGTGGCCATCTCCCCAAGGGATGATTTCTCACTTCCTCTGTCTCTCTGTGTCTCCAGCAAGTGGCACATGCCCTATAACAAAAAAATCTCTCTCAAAACAACAACAACAACAAAAAAAAGAAATCCCATCTCACTCTTTTGCACTCTCATTCTCTCATACAGGAAAAAAGAAAAGGAAATCTATTTGTGGGAATGAATGATCTAAATCATGATAAAGTATAAGGAAAAAATGAAACAGTTGCCCAAACACCTCCGATACCCACAACACCGTGGGCAGTCGACCATGCTCCCATGGGGCCTGCCGTGGCTGGAGGGCAGAAGGGCTGTTCTGAACTGTGCTTCCATGTGGTAGGCCTCCCATGGGAAGATGATAATCCCCTGCATTTGAGAATGCACCGGGAATTTGCAGAATATTTTAAGCCCGACTTTTAAGATGAGGTAAACAGAAAAGAGGACAAAGGTGGTCCAAGCTTGGAGCTCAGCTGACTCGGAGCTAAGCCAGCTTCACGGGGAATGGGAGGACTTCAGTACCAAGGAGGGCTGGTAGTGGCCACCGGATGTGGTCATCTCCTAGGGAAGGGTGGAGACAGAGACAGACAGTAGAAAGCAGAGAGTCCAGCCACGCTCCTTACACTTACGGGGACCAGCTGACATTACAGATTCTAGGAATTCATAGGACTTTAGACTTCGAAGGATCTTCGGAATTTACCTAATATGCAGGGTCTTCTAGACATCTGTGGAAAATGCATATTATGAAAAATCTGTGCCTGGATTTGGCATTTTTTGCAACAAAATAGTCTTGTGTTTTAATTCTATTTTGCCATGAACCGTTTGAGGTCTCCTCCTTCAATCTGGAACTTTCCCAGCGGAGGCCATGGGCCTCCTCGTTGGGCTGAGCTATGGGCTGGCGTCTGGGCTCCTTCCGGCCCAGCTCTTTCAGCCATGGGTGAACACCGCAAGTCCACCCCCTCAGGCTAACGTCATACAGCCGACATGGACATGGGGACTTCTTTTTCTTTGTTGGCTTTTCTAAATTGCCAATGTCTATGTTTATTGGGGGAAAAAAATCAATTCACCTACGCCGGGGCTTTCCCACTGGCCCGGTGCTCCCATGAGCAGCAATGGTGACTGAAAACGAGTGCAAGTCTCCCACCGGATCTGAAATGCACATGGACCTCCTCTGACCCTCACAGCAATCCAGGGGGTAGAGCGTCTCCTCTCACCTTAGCCACAGGTGGGAGCTCAGAAGGCTGGGGAACTTGAGCAGAGACACGTGATCTGAGTCAAACCCAGACACACAGCTATGAGCCCAGTACCCTTTCTTCCTACCCCAGCTTTAAGACCCTGGGGAAGGGACTAGCAGTTAGCATAATGGCTATGTCGCTGGACTCCCATGTAGTTGACCGCAGGTCGAGTCCTGGACCCGGTGGCTTAAACTCACACTGGGCCCATGTGCGTGCGTGCCCAAGATCCCGAGAGGAGAATGGAGGAGAAGGGATTGCGGTGTGGCCATCCCCCCGGGGGGCGATTTCTTGCTTTCTGTCTCTCTGGCGAGCGCATGTGCCCTATAGCAAAAACCTCTCCAAAAAAGAAAAAAAAAAAAGACCCTGGGGGAGGCGCGTGGAGAATAAGGCTCAGACACCCAGAGAGTTTCTTCTGGCAGAAACAGGCCTCTCTGCTCACATGGTTTCAGCAGGCGTGGCTCGTGCAGGGCCTGGCGTCAGCCCCTGAATCAGCATGGTGGAGCTGTGGAATGGGTCCCCAGGGTGCAGCGTTCTCTTGATGTATGTGTGGGGGGACAGGGGGACAAGAGGTGCTAGGAAAAGTAGGGAGATTGGTGTCAACTGTGAACTTCCAGTCCTCCAACTCTGACCCCTCCTGACCACTTGCCTTATTGCTTTGGTTTTTCAGAAATCATGAGGTCCAATGGATTTTGTTTAGCAAATACAGAGACGATCGTGATCGACCACGGCATACCAAACGGAAAAGACCAGCACCTGGATGCGGATCCGACGGAGCACCTGTAAGTACGCGGATTTGAATAGAGCTCTATAGAAGCGGTCCCGAGCTGTCGGCCTGCACAGGGCCGGGCTCGCCGCCCATCCGGAGCTCCTATGGAAGGAAGGGGATGTGGCTGGGAGCACCCAGCTCTCTGCCTGTCTTTGGATAATTATTTTAAAAGGTTGCCTTTTCTGGAGTCTGGGGAGACCTTGATTCGTAAACCTTGCTGCTGGCTATGAGGGGCTGCAGGAGAAGTTGCAAGGCCCCCCAGGTCTGGGTTGTGCTGGGCCCTAAGGGATAGGATGCTGTGTCCAGACCCAGGGCCTGGTTCCGGAAGGGGTTTGCACCTCCATGCTCAGAGGGCCTGGGCTCCGGGGACAGGGGAAGTATATCGTGGCTGTGATTCACGGGAGGAGCCTGGCCCGGTTACTGAGAGCTGGCCTGCAGCAAGTCCACGGTCTTCTCCCCCTTTCTACCTCTGATTGTGGAACTTTCGATGTAATACTCCCAGAAACCCCAACCCCAGGGGCCCTGTAGGCACAGCCGTCTCTATCCTTAGCAGCTTATCGGGGCTAAAGGATGCGACAGTTTGGCTTCTGTTTACTGTCAAGGCCAGCTCCGGGTTTTTCTCGATGGCGTGAGCTCCAAGGTTATTTATCCTCTCCTGGCTTCTCTTACCTTTAAGGCGGGGGACAATCATTTTGCTCTCTTGGGTGGGCTGGGGTGAAGACCACAGAGGATGAATGTACGGTGCCCGGCTCAGAGCCCCCTCTGGCTGTCAGCTCCCTACAGGTCCACAAGGGCACCAGTGAGGGGGGACGTGGTGTCTGGGGGTGTCACAGGTCCACCCCACCCGTGTGGTGGCCCTCAGCAGCAGCAGGGACTGGGCCGAGCCCTCTGGCCAAGGCCCACATCAGAGCCAGTTGCTGCCCGAGATGGTGTGACTCCAGGGTGGGCCTCGGGTCCAGAAGGTGGCATGAGCCCCTTCTGTACAGTGTCTGCTCTGGAACCAAGAATGGGGTGCCCATCATCCATCCTTGGACTGACACTGAGCAGCAGCCCACACTCTTAGCTCTCAGGGTGTCTCTGGTACATGGTGCAAGAACCCTCCGCGTGAGGGGCTGGATTCAGAGCTGTGCTGAGGCCGCGGTGACGCCCTCCTGACCTCCTTGTCCACTGGTGGGTCTTGTTGAGACACTATGTGGCATTGCACCTACTGTGTGCTGCTCACCTGGCCTCATGGTCCGGGTTGACTGCCACGGGATGTATAAAACTGGGTGCATTGGCGAAGAAGGGAAGGAGAGGTGTTTTAGCTTCACGGGAGGGGTATGGGCCTGGGGCAGTCCCGGTAGAGAAGACGGGGGAGCCCCTTCCTCACCGCCAGTGGCTTCAGTGTCCTAGCTCTGCTGCAGCAGCCCTGGGAGGTGAGGATGCCCTTTCTGTCTCCAAGAGGCCATGAGAGGCCCGCTGTACCCTGGAAGGAAGCCGGAGTTAAGACGTGGTTCCAGGGCTGGCAGGCGGTGTGGTGATTGAGGGCACTGGACTCCCACATGGCCAACTGCAGTTTGAGTCCCGGACCTGGTGGCTTGCTTTCTCATTTTCTCTCTCTCTGGTCAAATTAAAATAAGTAAATGAATAAATAAAGTGAAATAAGATAATTCTTTTTTATAAAAGAAGAGAAGTGGTTCCACTGTGAACAGTTTTGAGCTGAGGAGAAAGATAGAAAAAGCAGTGTGTGGCTTCCTGCTGGCCTGGGCCTCACACAGGTTTTATGAGGAGTCTGTGGCCAGCTGCCCGTGAAGCCTGGCTTGCAGGGAGAGGCAGAGAGGGAGAGCGAGCAGAGAGAGCCTCGGTGATCCCAGAAAAGCCCAGCAACGGAGCGGCTGCCTCTGAGGGCTCGGGGGAGCACTTAGAGGGAATTCCTGACACACAGCTCTCCAGCGGCGTGATGTAGGGAGCGCGGCCACGTGGACAGTCTGGCTGCGGGCTGTCCCTCGGGAGCAATCTGTCCTAACACTCCATCAGGCGGGTGGCGGGGGTGGCGGGGTGGCAGTGACAGGAGGTCACAGAGAGACACCGTTTGAGGACGGGAGCGCTCACCACCAGGCCTCAGGCCTCAGCATCCTCACTGCTGAAGAGGCTGGTGGTCCCCTCACCCCCAAGCCAGCGTGTCCCAAGCTTCCTGGAGAGCCACCGTCAGATTTGGGGCCTGTGCAAGTGCATCTCAGTAGGAAGCCCTCACTCTTTGGTCCCGAGGAGGAGAGTGGGCCCAGTGCCAAGACCTGAGACCCAGTTGCACTCAGGGAGCCAGTGTGCCCCATGTGACTGGGGTCAGCGGGGCAACTGGGATCACCAGGCTCCTGAGGTCACCTGGACCTGAGGCCTTTGTCACTCTGCCAGGTCTTGGAGGGAGGCCTGCCTGACCTCGGACTCAGCCCTCTGACTCTTTTGGCTTCCCTTTCTTCCTCATGTTTGCCCTGTGTTTGGAGGCAGGAGGGCCCAGCCTGGACATGGGCAGGGCTGCAGCTTTGGTGTGGCCTGGCCCCCCACCGGCGTGGGGCTTTTCCCATATTCCCAAGGTCCCCCCTGGGTTTCCACTCAACACAGGTTTGGGGGAGAGATCCAGTCCCCTAAGAAGTGGGTTTGCCTCCAGGCGATGTGCTGTCTCGCAGCATAAGCCACACGGGAAGCCTGAGGCAGGAGGCAGCTCAGGCCTCGCACCAGGCCTCTCCATGGGGGTAAGGGAAGCCGGGCTCTGTGCTTTTTCTTTTTCTTACATCAGGGTCTTGGCGCATTGTGATGGTCCTACCTCGGCCTGCCAACTGGGACCTCACTGGGCACCACCACACCTGCCCTTGCCCCTGTGCCCAGGCCAGCTGTCCCTCCTCCTGCCTCAGCCTCCCCGAGTCACTGGGGTAGCAGGTGCACACCTCCACACCTGGCCTTCAGGCCGGAACAGGAACCCAACCCAGGCCCCCCATGTGGCCCCAGCCTGTGGAGCACGGTGTCTGAGTAACACCTGCCTCTCCAGCTGGGCCCTCTGAGGCCTTTTCTGTGCAAACTTTTTTTTTTTTTTTGAGAGGGTTTTTTGCTATAGGATGTATGCGCTCACCAGAAAGACAGAGAGAGACAGACAGAAAGCGAGAAATCACCCCCCAGGGGAGATGGCCATGCCGCAATCCCTTCTCCTCCATTCTCCTCTCAGGATCTTGGGCACGCACGCACACACGCCCAGTGTGAGTTTAAGCCACCAGGTCCAGGACTTGAACCACGGTCGACTACATGGCAGTCCAGTGACATAGGTATTACACCATCTACTGATCCCCCAACTTTTTTTTATAAGAGAAGTTTTTGCTATAGGGTGTGTGCCCTCACCAGAGAGACAGAAAGTAGACATCACCGGAGGGATGGCCATACCACAGTCTCTTCCCCTCTATTCTCCTCTTGGGATTTTGGGCATGCATGCACATGCATCCAGTGTGAGTCTAAGCTGCTGGGTCCAGGACTCAAACCGTGGTCGACTACGTGGAAGTCCAGCATTGTCGCCATTACGCCATCTGCTGGTCGCTCTTATGCAAACATGTTAAGGCTGTCATCACCTCTTCTACTTTTAGTAGCCACTTAGACTCTGGAGGAAGCCTGCCGCCCAACCCTGTGGTCTGAGGTCAGCTGGATTCCTCGGGGTGTCCTCAGTACGGGGGAGGTGCATCTCCACCCTGCCCCCATCACGTCACCCGAGTCACAGGCTCATGACTGGTCTTCTCAGTTCGGGCACTTCCTGGCCACTGCAAAGCTCCCCTGATAACAGTCCTTGTAGCTGTCTGCTGACCGGTGGCATGTCACTGGGAACCAGCCCTGGGCTACCATTGTGCACCGTGGACCCTGAGGCCCTCCCCTGCTGTCCTGGGAGAGCCTGCCTCTCCACGTCCTGCCCCGTTAGCGCTGCCTCCCAGGTGAAGGAAACAGAGCGCACACAGCACCTCTGGCACCCCTTCCTGGGGGAATGCCCCTCGTGTGCTTCTTTGTTATGAATTTTTAAAAATTTGGAGTCTGTTTTTTAGCCTAGGAGACAGTGTCTGGGTGAGCAGGGAGTGGAGGCAGTTCCAATGCGTGGGTCTTGTTGTCGGGAGGCTGTTTACGCCCCTTACATTTGGGGTACCTGGCCTTCCTTCAGTTCCCCCTCACCCCATGTCAGCTCTCCATATTTGCAGAGTCTTCATTTTTCAGAGCTCAAGTTAAACACCGGCCCAAATGGAAAGGACCCCCCTCCCCACTGTGACCTCCATCGCCCTTGCCTGTGCCTCTCGGGGTTCCCATCCCTCCTGAGTCTCCAGAGCCCACGTGTACTGTCTCAGCTCACAGTGGGTCCATGCCTCGGCAACCTCTGTCCCTAGTCCCTGGTTCTTTGAGACAGAACCTGCCTACTCGGAGCTCAGTGCACTTTTTAGCAGCAATTTTTGCTATCGGGCTTGTGCCCTTGCTGGAGAGAGAGACAGAAAGTGAGAAATCACTCCCTGGGGGAATGGCCACACTACTGCAATCCCTTCTCCTCCGTTCTCCTCTTGGGATTTTGGGCACATGCACACACGTGCCTGGCATGAGTTTTAAACCTCCAGGTCCAGGACTTGAACTATGGTTGACTAGTTGGGAGTCCAGTGACACAACCATTACGCCATCTGCTGGTCCCATCACGCACTTCCCTTGTAATTGTGGACGTGGTCCACACTTCCTGAGTACTGAAAAGACCTGCAGACTCGTGGCCCTTCCGTGCAGCATTGACCCTATCCCTCAGTACCCCACCTGCTCACCTCCTGCCCTTTCTGCCCCCCTTCAGCTGTGAGTCCATGAGGCCTTCACCTGTGTTTTCCAATTTCAGGTTTGAGAACGGCAGTGAGTTCCCCTCAGAGCTGGAGGACGGCGACGACCCAGCGGCGTATGTCACCAACCTGTCCTACTACCACCTGGTCCCCTTCGAGACGGACATTTTGGACTGAGCGTCTCCGTAGGACCTCTGCCACCTCCGCCCTTGACTGTGGGCGTGATACAGTCCATGGGCTGGCCCCAATAGCCAGAGCTGCTGCTGTGACCCCGGACCTCCCAGGAGTCCCAGGCCCTACCCCGCTGCTCACACCTCCCAGTGGAGCAGCAGGAGCTCCTGGTGGCTTCCATGCTGACTGCAGGGTCTCCAGCACCCAGAGTTGTGTCACGGGTGGCCACATGGCTGTCTGTGCTGAAGGGTTGTCTCTTCCCACTCAACACCACCAGCTTGCATCTCCATTCCTGGGACAGGTTCCCACACTTGGTGCCTGTAAGAGCTGGGATGTCCGGGTCTGTCTGGGCTCCTCTCTCAGTTCCTGCTTCCCCGGGAGGGGTGCACCTTTTTGCCCAGTGCTGCCCGGGCTCCCCACCATTCCCTCATAGGTCCAGTGCACTAAACATTTTGAGGGCAACTCTGACACAGCGCCAAGTTCTAGATGGCGTACGCAGGGGCTATTACGTAATCCAGGATTTCCCTGAGAACCAGGATGTTGGAGCTTGCACTTGGCTCTCCTCTTCTGTATGGAAACTGGGTTTGGGGTCCACCCAAGCAGTGTTTACAGAAGATACAGCATGAATGAGAGTGCTAGCTGTGGTCACTGAGGATCAGGTGCCCAGAGGAGCTTGCCCTGGGAGTCAGTGGTTCTCCTTAAGACTGCCAACACCCTTCCCTCTTCAGTGGGGGGATCAGGGTCAGAGCCACCCCGGGGCAGGTGTCTCAAGTTTTCCTCTCTTCACTCAATGACCGAATTGCCAGGATGACTCTGAGAGGATGGGAATCGAGAGGAAATCACAAGGCTCTCTTGTCAACCGAGGAGGGCCTGGGTTCTGCGAGCTTCTCTCCTCCCGGTGTCTACTAATGACCGACGTCTGCTAATGTAAATAATAGTAAATTATTGAGATTCTAATTCTTTTACACAGTCTGTTTTTAATCTATTTTAATTAAATAAAATCTATGACTCTACTTGGATTTATTTGAGATGTTTGTGTGTAGAGGTGTGGCTCTCTCCAGCCTGTGCCCCGGGAGGGCATGGCCACCCAAGGCTCGCTCCATCGGCCCCGCCCCGAGCGCTCTTTCTGTCATGCCGTTGTGTAGGAAATGGGTTCTGTTCTCACCCTAGGGAATGATCTGTATGAATGAAAAGTGAGCACACAAAACTCATTGTGTTTTTTTCTTTTCTTTTCTTTTTTTTTTTTTGATTTAGGGTTTTCCCCTTTTCCTTTCCCTCTTCAGCAGCCACAGGAAACCTCTTTGGTGACCCAGCTGCACAGTAGACAGGATTTCCGTGGCCGCTGGGTGGCTGACCAGGGTTGACCTGTTGCCTTTTTTTTCTCTTTAAAAAACTCAGGTTTACTTCTGTACAAGGATAGGGCTTCTTGCCTGGCAATGAAAGTCAAAATCCATGAACATGTTCAGTGAATTCCCGCTCAACTTCTTGGGTCATCACCCTCATTACCATGCTCCACAGAGGGGCGTCTTCCCAGCCATTTGGCCACTGTGGTCGCCACTTCCTTGGTTCGTCCACTTGCTCCGAATGTCAAAGGATCCAGGTCTGCTCCTCAAGCTCCCCTCTCAGCTTCCGCTGAAGAGACTGCTCAGTGCACAGTGAGATTCCTTGTGGGGGGCAAGGTGTTTGGACATGGGTTAAAAGACATCAGTGCATTCTCTGGCTTCCATAATTTTCTCAGAAATGTTTTATAGTTTTTGGAGAGGTTTTTTGCTATAGGGCGCGTGTGCTCGCCAGACAGACAGAAAGCAAGAAATCACCCCCTAGGGGAGATGGCCACGCTGCAATCCCTTCTCCTCCATTCTCTCGGGATCCTGGGCATGCACACACATGCGCCTGGCGTGAATTTCAAGCCACCGGGTCCAGGACACGAACCGCAGTCGACTACATGGGAGTCCAGCGACATAGCCATTACACTAACTGCTGGTCCCTTCTCAAACATTTTGATCGTGTAAGTCCATTCTCCATGTTCCCACATTGGAAAGAGCCACACGTAGAGATGAGTATGGAAGTGCGACAGTATGCGATGACCAGCACTCAGTATCATTCTGGAAAGGCAATACAGAGTGGTGGGGAGTGTGACAAACGAGAGCTCATGCATCATGGGAACAACCATTGCTACTTGTTTTACCTGATTGTTTTACCTAGGAGTGTGGGCCGAGTGTGGCAGGCCTTCTAGTTTTTTTAATAGAGGTTAAAAAGCCGACTTTTTATATGGAATATTCCAAGTTTGAAGTGTTGCCCAAAAGCAAAAAATAAAAATAAAATAAAGTACCCACAATAATAAAAGAATCTAGTGTTGCCCAAAAGCAAAAAATAAAAATAAAGTACCCACAATAATAAAAGAATTACCAAATAAAAATCATGTTTTCAGCTTCTACTCTAGACTCTCAGTTCAGAGAATTAATCCCACAGGAGTTCAGGGTCTTCTGTGAATTGCCCTTTTACCCACATGATCCTCTAGAGACCTGCTTACTTGTACTGGCCACTAACAGATCTTTGGCAGTGGTGGCCTGGCACTGTCCCTCTGCCTTTATTACTGAAAATCATTCCTGGCTGTTACCATGAGCCTCCTTTACTGCGTTGGACAGTCACCTGCAGAGTGGCGGGCCAACCAAACAAATCTGCTGGCAAATCAAATCCTTTCAGTCACCTAAATTGTCTATTTGAAATGAATTTTTTTTTTTTTTTGGGGAGGTTTTGGCTATAGACTGCTGCTGCTCCCCAGGTACAAGAGAGAGAGACAGCGAGAAATCACCCCCACCCCCAGGGAGGATGGCCACAGTTGCAATCCCTTCTCCTCCATTCTCCTCTCGGGATCTTGGGCATGCACACACATGTGCCTGGTGTGAGTTTAAGCCACCCGGTCTGGGACTCGAACCGTGATCGACTACGTGGGAGTCCAGCAACATAGCCATTATGCTAATTGCTGGTCCCTATTTGAAATGAACTTTCAGCAAATACTATTTCCAGGCTAAGGATCATCCCCTCTTGGTTCTTGGTTTATTTTGTAAATAAATGCTAGTTTTCACATCTGAAGCTTGCTTCAAGTGAGAAATGCCCAGCGTGGACATGAACCAGGCCACCTTGGAGAGGTTCTGCAGGAGCGTGGACATGAACCAGGCCACCTTGGAGAGGTTCTGCAGGAGCGACTCATTCTGCTCTCACTGTGGGGTAACAAATGAGCACCAGCTACCTGGTAATTGAGCAGACTGTAGGCTCATGAATAAACATACCATCTCAAGGAGAGAAACTCATTAATGGAAATCTATGGAAGAGTGTCGGCAGCCAAACTGCCCGGAGCAATATGTCCTAACCTTCACCACTTTCTCCTGGGGATAGAACACATTCTTGGCTTTCATTCAACAAGTCTGAGAAGCCATTCTGTCAAATTAGAAGCATTTTTATTGCAAATGAAATTTCTGTATCTGGTTCCTGGTGCTAATGGACCTCCTGCAGACCAGTATTCTACTCTAGGTTCTGTTTTGTTTTTGTTTTGTGTGTGTTTGTTTGTTTGTTTTTGTTTTGGAGAGGTTTTTGCTATAGTGCGTGTGCACTGACCGAAAGACAGAGAGAGACAGAGAAACAGAAAGCGAGAAATCACCCCCCCCAAAGGGGGATGGCCATGCCGCAATCCCTTCTCCTCCGTTCTCCTCTTGGGATCTTGGGCATGCACGCACATGCGCCCAGCATGAGTTGAAGCCACCGGGTCCGGTGCTTGAACTGCGGTCGACTACATGGGAGTCCAGCGATTTACGCTATCTGCTAATCCTCATTCTGTTTTACAGTGTAGATTATGTAATTGTTCAGGTATGGCAAGACCAACAGACTAAGCACTAACTGCCATTGGAAAGATGTAAGAGGAGGGGACAGGCCATGCCATGGCAGTGCGTGGAGGCAGGGGCACAGAGGGAAGCCCCAGCGTAAGTCAGAAGGCAAAGGGGGTGAGAAGACAACTCAGTTAAAGTTTTTATTGTGATTTCTATCTACAGCAACTGGAGAGGCAAGGTCGGCAGAGTCAGGATTGGCCAGTTTGAAGAATTGCAGCAGGCTCTGTAGTGTAGGGCCTTAGTGGGGTACCGGACCCCGGGTGATCAGAGAAGGAAGACAGTGGTCCAGGAATGAGCCGGATCAGGAGGTGTCGGGGTATGGGTCCTGGATTGGTTGGTTTGCATGTGGAAGCTGAGTCTTTCACTATCTCTAGGAATTGGGTAATCTGAGAGGGGCAGGCCAGAGTCAGCACACCCAAAGATGACAAAGGATCAACTACAGAAACTGGTCTATGAAAGAATCTGACAAGATGACAAAGGATCAACTACAGAAACTAGGAAACATGGTTATTCCTCAAATTAAACCCTGTATCTCCTGGTCTATGAAAGAATCTGATTTTCTTTCTTTCTTTTTTTTTTGTTTTTTTTTTGAGGTTTTCGCTATAGGGCACGTGCGCTCACCAGAAAGAGAGAGACAGAGAGACAGAAAGCGAGAAATCACCCCTCAGTAGGGATGGCCATGCCGCAATCCCTTCTCCTCCATTCTCCTCTTGGGATCTTGGGCACGCATGCACACACGCCCGGCGTGAGTTTTAAGCCACCGGGTCTGGGACGTGAACCACAGTCAACTACGTGGGAGTCCAGTGACATAGCCATTACACTAACTGCTGGTTCCCTGAAAGAATCTGATTTTATCCTCCAGTGGGGACACAGAGAAAACTAAATATGTGGCATGTCTGTATGCTTCATGGAAAATGCCTTCCAACAGGGTCCATGTGGAATAGATACATATGTTGCTTTTTCTTAGTTGAAGGGATAATATATTCCTAGGGTCCAAAAATCAAAAGGACTTCAAAGGTTTTTAGCAGAAAGTAGTACTCCTCTTCCTGTCCCCATCCTACCCCCTCCAACGTTGATTAGTTTCTAATAAATTCATCTTACATTTTTAATGCAAATATTAAACAAATACAAGCATGCACGTCTTTGACAATAACTATACAGTCCTCTGACATCTACATAATTTAGCATTCATGGTCAATAATGTGTTAAATATGTTTGCGTGCATGTATGAAACACTTCAGAAATAGATGAGCTGCTCAAACTTGTTCAATGTTACTTCTAATCAAAAAGTGTAAATTGCTAGAGGACTTGGCTGACGTGTAGCACATCATATCTTAGATTATGGGTAAGTCCCTATCTTGGACTTCTGGGAAAGCATTAGACTTTGTGCTATTCACTCCCGTCTGCTTTGGAGGTGGGGTGATGCTCTGTCACAGGAGGGTAAAAATCACTTTTGGAGATGAACTTACTGGAGCATCTCTAAGAAGAAGATTTATTTTCATGAATCCCTTTTTGAAAGTTTATTTAGTTCTTCCATGAGAGCGCGAAAAAAAAAAAAGAGAGACAAAGAGACAAAGAGACAAGTACCCCCAAAGGAGTCCTCCTGCCATGATGTACCTTAGCCGCAGCTAGTCCAGATCACGGGCACGTGCACCCAGTATGCACAGGGATGCCCTAGGACATGAATCAGGGACCTCGCTGGTGGGTCCATACTCACAACTTCTCGTTGCCACTGTGCAGCTCTCTGTCTCCAATGTTCACAAATATGATCATCTAAGAGGTGTATTAGACTGCATCAGTTACTTCATTATCTTCTTTTTAAAAAAAATTCTTCTTCTTTTTTAAAGAGAGAGAGAGAAGCATCTACAAGAGGGTTCTCATGCCAGAGAGAGAGAGAGAGAGAGAAGCATCCACAAGAGGGTTCTCATGCTATAATCTACCCCAAGCCTCATTCCTGGCCACCATGGGTCATGAGCACATGCATGTGCATGTTCAGTGTGCACAGAGATATCCTGGGCTTGAACTGGGGACCTCCTAGGTGTGTCCAGCCTTGCAAAGTGTTGTGTTACTGTCCTGCCACCATCTTGCCCCCGTCTTGATTATTTTCTTGATAATCACTTTGAAAACTTGAC